TGGAGGCAGGAAACTGAGCAGAGGTTGAGGTGGGGGGCTGGGACAGCAGCTTTAGGAAGGCCCCTTACTCCGTTCACCCTCCACTGGGACACATGCTACAGCACCCCTTCCATTTCACCCTCCCCAAGCCAACTGCAAAAGGGCAGGACGTAGAGCCTGGCAGGCAGGCCACGTTCCAGTTTCCGTTTCTGACTCCCGGCCCGACAAACCATCCCAGGGCAGGGCAGTGTCTAGGAATTCCAGGACTTGGGACAAGAATGTGCCTTCAGTTCATCGCTCTCCCCAAGGAGACTCTGTCCACGCAGAGTCTAGCCGTGGTCTTTGGCCTGGGCCTGCTGGATGAATGGCAGGTGCTTGCCCCTTGAATCTCAGCCTCTGCACCCCTAATGCCCTCCACCTCTAGACATTCTCCCTTCTGTCTCTCTCCGGAAGTCAAAGGAGGGGCAGTTGCAAGAACTGGGCTCCTTTGCAGTGCTCCCTTCTGGCCGCACCGAGCCTACTTGGCCTGAAGATCTGGGATATGAATCCAGTGCAGTGTGGGGAGCGAGGAGGGAATGGGGAGGGAGCCGCCGCCGCCCGTGCCTACTCTACCTGCCAGGTGGGATCTGCGTGGCGGAAGTAGCAGAAGTTGTCCGTGATCCACTTGTAGATGGCCGACAGGGTGATCTTGGTGGCCTTGCTGGCCTGCATGGCCATGCAGATGAGCGTGGCATACGAGTAGGGAGGCTTCACGTGCGGGTTGGTGGCGTAGTCCACGTCGTCGGGGGGCGGGGCCTGCAGCCCCGGGGGCGCGCTCCGCGACGTGCACGACGACGTGGGCTTGCCCGGCGTGTGTGGCTGCCCCAGGCAGGCGGGGTCGGCCGCCAGGGGGGACCCGGGCGCCGCCGAACCTGGCACCTGATGGTAGCCGTGGGTGTCGGTGCCCCCCGGGGGCAGGGCGGGGGCCTTGGCGTTGAGAATGGAGAATTCCTGCAGCCACTGCAGGCTGGTCAGGCTGTCATCCAGGGCGTCGGGCTCCTCCAGGCCGCCCTCCGGCCCGGCCTCCTCCGCCGGCCCAGCTCCCGAGAGGCGCAGCCAGCTCTCCGCCATGTCTGCGGGGACTCTCCGAGGGGGCGGTCAGCATCCACGGGCTGAGCCGGGGGTGGCCCGCCGCGCTCTCTGGCCCGCTGAGTCCCGCAGCTCCGGTTACACGGCCTCCCGGACGCGCGCTTCCATCTCGCGACCCCGGGGGCGCCTCCTCCGAATAAGTATGTGGTGCCTGCGAGGACCACGGCGGGAACTGAGCACTACCCCACCCCCGAGGGGACAGTGTGTGTACGGGGACGCCTCTTCTAACATCATCCCCGCAGCTGGGGAGGATCTTTTAATGCCGAGGTCTGGGAAACAGAAGCAAGGCCCTGGGGTCCCACCCCACCAGATCCGCCTCCCTCTTCCTTTCCTCTCTGAGGTTTTATTAGCCAAATAAAGGAAGAGGGTAGGGGCATCCGAGGCTATCCTTTTCTCCCGAAGAGCAGGAAATCAGGACCCCCTTCCTCCCCGCAACAAATGGAAATGGGGCGAGAAGTCTGGGAGGGCAGTACGACGGGGCGGGGGCGGAGCAGGTCCTTTGATCCTTGAAAAGGAATATTATGATAGGGGATCATCGGGAAGGAAGAGGACGGAACAGTTATGCGGGGCAGGAGGCGAGTCTCCCCCAGACTTCTCCGATGTCAGTCCCTGGTCCCACCACTTCCGTCAAGGACGAATGAGAGCGGGCTGGTACCGTCGCCCACCCTCCCCCTGTCCTGCAGTCCCCCTGCCCCGTCCCTTACCTGGCTCAGAGCGCAGCCGGGGCCAGAGGAAGGTTCTGGAAGGAGTTCCTCCCACCCCCTGCGGCTCTCTGCCCCCAGCTCGGGGGCCCTGCCAGCGACTCTTGCCGCCCCCCCGCCCGACGGCGCTTCTCTGAGCTACCGCGGCCCCGGGACCGGCATTAAGTAGCCGCTCCAAAGGCTTCTCCCGCTGCCATGGCGACGCTCCGCCCCCATAAACAGCTTCCGCCGCTGCTATTGGTCAGTACGTCTCCAAGGAGACCGCGGGCACTTGCCACTCTCTCTGGCGGCAACTCTCTTCGAACTCCCTCCTTCTGCCGCCCTCTCCCGCGCCACCCAACCCCCTACCCGCCGCTACGTCCCTGCTCGGCTCATTCCCGCCCGAGGGCCCCGCGCTGGGGTCGGAAAAGCGCGCAGCCCGCGGCACCGGGAACCGCTATGGATCCGTTCGTCCTGGGGAACTACGACTCTCGCCCCCACCCCCTTTCTGTCCCGGTCGCTCTGAGGCGTCGACTGCTCCTGGGACGGAGCCTGCGGTTGGGGGGCTAAGGCTGGGAGCGGACTCAAGCTCGGGAACCGTATCCTTGAGATTTTCTTTCCTCTCCGCTACGAGTGGCGCTTTCTCAAGTTTCCGCAGCCTTTCCCTCTCCCCTGACTCTTAGGGTCTTTCTCTGGTGCCCCAGGCAGGTCTGATTTTCCAATGCCACCTGCCGCTTACATCCACAGAGGCGGCAGACACACCCAGGAGGCAGGGTAATCCAGTGTGTCCCAGTAAGCAGCTCTTTCCCCACCCGTATCCTCGAGGTTCCAGGAAGCTGACATTCCAGAGGCTTCCGCAGAAGCGCACTCACTCCTTTTGGAGACAGCTGATGAAGCAGAGCCCGTGGGTAAAACTCTGCAGTCACGGACTTGTCAAATTCTCCTAGCGGGGTCATTTGCCCAATTAATTTCACCAACCTTTAAGTGACAGGGATTAAGAGTACAGGGACTCTGGGGACTGTGGCCCTTCCTCCTCCCTTCCCCTGGCCTCCCTCCTGTCACCAGCTTTCCTGCTCTTTAATTATTGAGGAGCTGCAGGGTTGGACGTTCTCCGGTTTAAGGCGGCTGCAGAGGCAGTGGTGGGGGCTGGGTTGCTTACCTAGCCTCTGCCCAGGAGCTGGAGAGCTGGGGTCGGGAAGCCTGGTGCTCAGGCCATGAAGAAAGCCCCGCAATGGCCCATCACTCCCCCGCCAACGTGCCTTTCCCTAGCCCTTGCCTCTCCCACTCCTCCAACTCCAGATCCTCTTGAGTAAAAACATTAAAGAGTGCTGGAGAAAGACAAACTTTCACAGATAAGCTCACTTTGCAGTTAGCTCTCCTTCCCTTGTAAACAGTTTTATTCATTTTTAAGAATCATGCAGCAATCCATAAATATTGCATTCTTGATGTCCCCACTGTAGTGTGCCCACAAGTGTACTCCAGGGAGAGGGGTACACAGATGGCACAAGCAGTATACACATGCACACACCAGGTGTGCAGACCAAAGCAAAGTGAGTGACCAGCGTGCCAACTCCAGGTGGGCAGGATCCTAACTCTCCAGGTGAGACAGCTTAGAGTGTGGGGGGTCTATGCCTAGGAGATGCCTCAACGGGGGTAGAAACTCTGGTGGGATGGAACTGGGCAGAAGGAAAAAAGGGCTCTGTGAGGAAGCCGGGATCACACTACCTGAAGGCAATAAAGAGAGTACAGGCCTAGTGCAGCAGGAAGGAGCCCTGGGTCTCCATAGTTACGCTGTGCCCTGTGGGAGAAGCCAGGCCCACCTCTTCTCTTTGGGTGAACTGTTGATGTGACTATGTGACTGTCTCCAGATGAAGGACTGGGGCAAAAGAGTTGGCCACTGACCTGTCCTCATCAGGCTGACTGAGGACCAACTCCTTGGATGAAGTATTTCTGTGGGTCACAGAGCTAAATGACAGCCAAGAGAAGGCAGGGGGACAGAGGAAGAGGAGAAATAGTTACTGAGAAACAAGTAAAGGACATTTCTAACCTAGGTATGCCTTGGACATGGGGCTGAGGCCTTGAGGAATCTTTCTGTGCTTCTCCCTAGGAGAGGACTGAGCACCTGCTGAGGAAGGACACGGATCCTCCAGGAAAGGGGTCCTGGCCACTGCGGTTACTGTTTACCTCAATCTCCTTCATCTCAGCTCCTTCCTCCCTCCTCCCAGGTAACACCACACTGTGAATACTACCTGCAGGGGACAGGACAGGAGGTGGTCTGTGTGCCACCACCCCAGGGTAAGGGAAGCTCCCTGTCACCTGCTGCTTCTGGGCTCATATTTCAGGGAAATCAGGAAGTGGGGTTATTGCTCAGCTTATGCATCTCAACTATGAAAGGGGCGGGAAGAATGTAGGGGGAAGGAAAGGACATTAGGTGGGGCCTGAAATGGTAAAGTCTACTGCAGTATTTCAGAGAGGGTGGAGGACGCGCTCCACTCCATCAGGGCAGGATGTAAGCCACAATCACTAGGCAGTGAGACTGTCACTGCACTCCTGGCCTCTGCAGCCACACAGGAGCAAAGGACCCCCTGGGCGCCAGGCTCTTTTTGAGGCTATCTGCCTTGGAAACACCTTGACTTTTTTTTTTTTTTAAGACAGTTTCGATCTTTTTGATCTTGTTACCCAGGCTGGAGTGTAGTGGCGCGATCTCGGCTCACCGCAACCTCCGCCTCCTGAGTTCAAACGATTCTCCTGCCTCAGCCTCCCAAGTATTTGGGATTACGAGGCATGCGCCACCACGCCTGGCTAATTTTGTATTTTTAGTAGAGAAGGGGTCTCTCCACGTTGTTCAGGCTGGTCTCAAACTCCTGACCTTAGGTGATCCGCCCGCCTTGGCCTCCCAAAGTGCTGGGATTACAGGCATGAACCACCATGCCTCGCCAAAAAGCTCTTTTAGGGCAACAATTCCAAACCCTAAGACAAGTCCACCACAATGGGCATAGCCTATAAGGCTCTCCCACATCTCAATCTCACAAATAATAGTTGTTTCTAGCTTTGCTTTCCAAATAATCTCATGCCCTACTAAACCATCACCTTTTCCAAAGGCCAGTAGACAACACATGGAAGAGCCACAGGGAATCCACTGATGACACGCACGCTGAGGAAGGCAGAGCAGCCACCACCTCACAGTCCAGCTGTGCTGTTTCAGCTCTTGTATTTGTGACCTCACACTGGACTGGGGCGGGGAGTGCACACGAACAGAACACTATTTCTGAACTGCCAGTCAGCATGTGACTGGCTCCGTCTCCCTCTTCAGTGATTAGGCTCAGTAGCTCTGGAAGGTAAGGGAGGAACACATGGAGGATGGGGAGAGCCCTTGAGGTGAAGGCCCTGAGCCCTGATTCCAACCTCTGCTCCCAGCGCACTGCTGCTGGCCACATGCTGCTGCCTGAACTTAGTTCAAGGCTCTCCACCACTTCCTTTGGGGACCTGGGCACCAAACTAAGAATCACTGGTTCACATTTCTCTCAACCATTAACAAAAGGGGGTAGAGATGGGGGCAATAGGGACAAGAATGCCACCTCCCGGGTGAGTGAAGATGAAATATAAGACCACTCCTCACCCAGTGCTTGGCACACAGAGGTGGTCAACACGTTTCTTGAAATGTCACCTTAGGATGGAGTCCCAGGCCTCCCTGAATGCACCTGATCAGGAGAAATGCTCCTTAAGGGAAATCATCTTAACTGGGGGATTCTCAGATTCAAGGGCTTCTTCTTAAGCAGACAGGCACGTGAGGCCCAGGAGACTGGCTCTGCTACCAGAAGGAAGGATTTTTTCTTTCAACCAACCTTTTGGTTGCTACCATTTCTTGTCCTTGAGAAAGGTGCTCCTAGTGCTTGTGAAGGGAAATGCCATATCCGTGCAGTATTGCTCTCCCTTTTCACAGCCCTACCCCAAACTGCAGGTTTCCAATTGGTTATGATGTGCCAGAGACCAGGAAATGCCGAGGGATGTTTGTAACAAAGCTGCCAAAACTCTAAGCCTTCTTGTTCTACCCCCTAAGGAGAAAAAAGATGTGTAAGAAATTAGCCCATGGACCCCAGCTCCACCTGAACATCAAGATACCGTGGGGGCATTCCAGAGTCCCTGCAAAGGGTCTCGTGAGCTGCAGTTCATTGAGTGGCTTTAGGTCACGGGGAGAAAGGAGAGCTCCAGTTCCCTCTGAGAGGTGAGGGATTGTGGTTACAGGTTGTAACAGCTGTCACAGGAGGGTGAAAAGTCTCCAGCATCTTGCTGAGGATGCCCAGGAGGCAGCAGCTGAGTGAGGATGGATGGAATGCAGGGGCAGGAGAGGAGCCCAAGTGCAGAGGTTGGGGCTCAGACAGCCAAGGGGCCCCACACACAGGGCCTCGTCTCAGAGTCCTCCAGGCTGCTGGATGACAAGCGCCGGCGCTGGGCATTCCGACTGACGGCATTGTCATCAGCCTGCCAGGCACCTGGGGAACAGAAAAAGAACATTACAGGAGCCAGACCTTTGGCCAGATCCAGATGGTGTCTCCAGCAGGGCAGCCCAGGAGTCAGCACGGAAGGAACAGGATGCGTGTCACCTGAGACTCCGATGAGGGTGCGAGCCACAGCACTCGTGCGTGAGAACGGAGAGAAGCAGGTGCTGACAGGTGCAGAGGCTGCTCCTGCCCCCTGGGCTAGGTACAGTCACTGCCACTGTGGCTCCCAGACAGGGAGGGACATGAAAGATGTTCCTTGTTTTGTGAACTTACCCTGGGATCCACTTTCGTATTTTAATTACTTGGTTTTAAAGTTTGCCTATATGTTACGATAGACAGGAAAAGGAAATTGGGCCTCGCTGAGCTATTTTCATTGGGGCAGGAAGAGGTGGGGGGAAGTGAGAAGACTGTTCGTTCTGGCCCGAAGTGTTAATGTTTTCTGTGGGGGCCCCGCGGGGCAGGAAAGGACTGGCCACCCAGCAGGGTTTCTGGGATAGAAGGCTGCCCGGAGGGAGGACAGTGTGAGGCTCCAGCCCCCCATCACCTGCCGTTTTCCTCTCCTCCTGCACCTACGCAGCTGTTGAGGTTTGCTACTAGCTGGTGCCATCAGCCCAGCAGACACCAGCCCGAGAGCCTCGGGGTCCCACAGATACCACCACTGAACGCATCCTCTCCCCAAATCTGCTGTTGTCCCCACGTGAGGAGCGCCAGTGCCCATCTGGAAACCCATTCTTGGTGCTTCTCTTTCGTGTTCTGGATCCAATCCTCCACAACCTCCTGTGGGCTCACTTCCTAGCGGTGTTGTGACTCCATCTGTAGTCACACTAACCTGGGCTCCACTCCCAGTTTACAATGGTGTGATCCGAGGCACATCAATTTACTGTGGGCCTTGGTTTTCTCATCCATCAGATGGGAGATCAGTACTGACCTCACAGGCTTGCTGTGAGGACTAGACGAGAGAATGCGAGTGTTGGTGAGTGACTCCTAGAACAGCCTGTGCTCAGGCTCTTCCAGGCCATCTCGCCTCTCCCCTGAGAGTCCTCTTCATCTCCCGCCCACAGATGAGCTCACTCCCTCCAGTGCCCTCCCTCCGGTGAGGCTAGAGCGCTGGCTCCTGCCTTGGGCCTTGGCTGCCTCCGCTCTCAGGGCCCCCTGGCTCCCTGGGGTAGGGAAGGCATGTTGTCCTCCGGACCCTGTGGGCCTCCCAAGCATGTCTCCCAGTGCCCTCCCCTCACAAGGCACCTCTGGCAGGGTAAGGCACAGTGTGCTCCTAAGTGCTCCCTGCAGCCTGAACTACTGCTCCACGCATGCCTCACATGGTGGAAAACGCTAGGTCCCGGAGCTCCTCCATGGGACGAAGCTCCTCCTGGGCAGGGGCTGTGACTTCTTCACTGTTGCAGTCCAGAGCCCAGCACAACACCTGACCCACAGGAGGACCTGTTCAGTGGACGAGGCCGACCAACTGTAGAGTGTGGCCGTGAGGTTGAGAGAGGCCACTCACAAGTGTCCAGGGTCAGCCTCAGGCCAGTCCAGGACATGAAACTCTTTAATGGCACGTGGAGTCAGCAGGTATAAATGGCTTATTTCCATCAATGCCTTGGTGTGCTGATCCACCTCAGACTCTAGTAACAGTCTCTGGTGCTTGACCCCAGGGGAACAGTGAGAACAGGAGAGTCTTGGATCTCTCTCACATCCAAACTGAATTTGGGATCTTTACTCCCTGGGGGTGGGTACTGGAGCCTGGGACATGAGTCAAGCTGTTTTTTTCACCTCTAATGGTGGCACTATGTGTCTAAGTGTGGCAGGATGAATGTAAGGCAATATTAATATTGCCTTTAAAGTGAGGAACCCAAAATAAAGTGAGCTGTTTGTTCATTCATATAATTTGGTAGATCTCATACCTATTCCTCAATGTTTATGGGGCAGGACTCCGGAGCTGCGGCTGTTCAGTAGGAAAGACCAAAAGCAAATGGTAAACAAGAGAGAAGACACACATGCATGCACAAATAAAAACAGCAGCACCACCACCACCACCGCCACCACCAGCAAGCCACGGAACGCTGGGCCTGAGAGGCTGCCCAGAGAGCCGTCCTGACTCTGAATTCACAGGAGTCCTCGCTACAAACTCCACCCTTCTATTCTATAGAAGTCTTAGCCAGGGCAGAACATCGGTTACTTGTGGAAGACTCAAGAATCAGATCTGAAGTCTGCTCTCCTGGCCTCTTGGTAAGCTCTGTGGTGAGGGAGATTCGGCAGCAAGTGGGGGGGCCCTTCCCCTGGCAAGGACCCTGAGGGGCCCACGGCAAGGCCCTGCTGCTGCTCTCTCCTTAGCCTCGTTCCCACGGTGAGCCTGGCTGTGGAGAGTCAGTGTAGGTGCTGAGGGGCCTTCCAGAGCAGGTGCTGCCATTTTGTCTGGCCTGGAGGCCCCTCCAGCCAAAAAATGGAGCGTAGAGATTTAAAATCCTTAGAGGGATATGGGTAACAGTGCTTTCCATTCACGTCTCATTTTTTGGGATATCAAAAATGGGAGTATAAAGAGACCTCTAGAGGTAGATTTTGGGAGTACATTTAGGAAAATTTCACAAGCCCCTTTCCTGCCTCTTATTAAATACAAGGACTGTAATAGTTCAACTGTCTTTGTAGGGTTGCTCTCCAGGGGAAGGAGGAACTTAGTTTGAATTTTTTCTTAGTGCCCATAAAGTGCAAGTAGCATCTTAGTCTTGGGTTTTGAGGCCTCTCAAAAAGAGGAGATAATTCAATTTCAGGTCTCCACAAACCTTTTTAGATTTCACTGGATATGCTCATTCCAGTGGAATGCAGTCATTTAAAAATTATATTTGTATTCCCACTAAAAAGACCCAAATTATCTTTGCCTTTGTTGTTTTTTTTTTTTCCTCAAGATGGAGTCTCACTCCATCTCAGCCTCCCAGGCTGGAGTGCAGTGGTGTGATCTTGACTCACTGCAACCTCCGGTTCCCAGGCTCAGTCGATCCTCCCGCCTCAGCCTCTTGAGTAGCTGGGACCTGGCTAATTTTTGTATTTTCTGTAGAGATGGGGTTTCACTGCATTGCCCAGGCTGGTGTCCAGCTCCTGGGCTCAAGTGATCACTCGCCTCGGCCTCTCAAAGTGCTGGGATTACAGGCGTGAGCCACTGCGCCCGGCCTGTCTTTGCCTTTTTCCATCACTGACTACCCCAGGGCCTTCACAGAACTGTCACTTGCCATGATGACTATCCTGCCACCTGTGTAACAGTCCACCAAACTCCTTGGAGCCACATCTGCTTAGCATGGTCTCACAATTCTAGTCTTACTACCACCTGCCACACCCGTCAACTGAGATCTCCTTCCTTTATTCCTTTCAGAAGCAATCTCAGAACACACCACTCCCCAAAATCCACCCTTGGTCTTAGGGCTCAGGAAAACCCAGAAGTTTCTTAGGGGGAGCGGGGCTGGAATGACAAAAGTGCCTCTAAGCCCCTCACCAGTGTGACCAGAGTGGTGAGGATAGGAACCAACAAGGTTCTCAGTTCTTGCCACCAGCCAGGTCTCCTGGCAGAGCCTGTGAGCATGGCGCAGGGCACAGGGAGAGCATGGGAGGCACCCTGGGTTCCATTTCCCACTGGCCCTCTGTGAAGGGAGTGGCACCCGCTTGAAGAGGGAAACAGACTCAAGCAGAGACCAGGCGCATGTGCAGCTGTCCTGATGGGGAGAGAGCTGGCTGCAGGAACAGTGATGAGCTAAGACAGCCAGTGGTATCTCAGCCCTAAGATAGAAAACTGAACTTACAGCTGAGTGTGAAGAGGCTTATTTACTCCATGAGACCTACCAAAGTGGATATTCCTGTCTGTAACCTAGCAGACACTTCCAGAGAGTTCTCCAACAAATCTGCTACCAGTGGAACCAGAGACACATTTTGCCTAGAGAGATGTGCTTTTCCCTCTCAAGTAAAAAGGGAACCAGAGGTTTTGAGACATCACTTTCACCCAGCTACTGACCGAGGATGCCAATTAAAAACAAATCATGGCCAGGCACAGTGGCTCACACCTGTAATCTCAGCACTTTGGGAGGCCAAGGTGGGCGGATCACCTGAGGTCAGAAGTTCGAGACCACCCTGACCAACATGGTGAAACCCCATCTCTACTAAAAATACAAAAATTAGCTGGGCATGGTGGCAGGCGCCTGTAGTCCCAGCTACTCAGGAGGCTGAGGCAGGCGAATCACTTGAACCCAGGAGGCGGAGGTTGCAGTGAGCCGAGATCGTGCCACTACACTCCAGGCTGGGTGACAGAGCGAGACTCTGTCTCAATAAAAATAAAAAACAAAAACAAAAAAACTCAAATCCTTTCCACTGTCCTTGCCACAGAAGCATTCCCATTTTTATTGAACAGAAATTAATATAGTCTCACACATTTTTTTTCTTGGAAAATCTTAGTATATTGAATTGAGGCCTCTGGTGAGGATATAATGGGACATTTACAGTGCCTATACCTGAGGCCCTCTCCCAAGAGCCATCATAGGCATGTGATTTCATGTCTGGCACAAAGTGTGAGCACATCATAATCTCTAAATAGCTGGCTCCACAAGTCATCCTAAGGAACCCCAGGGCTTCTCTCTTCCTCCCAGTCCTCATTCTCCTGTGATCCCATGGAGTAACTATCAACAAGCAGGTCAGCTGGGGGGAGTCAGGAAGAGGAGGAATAAGCTCAGTTTCCACTAGCACTATTGGCTAAAACAACTCCCAGCAGCTCCCTCTGCCAAAAAAATAGGGGTGGGTAAGGGAGCCCCTTGAGGGAGGCAAGAACCTAAATTTATCTCCTAAAGCCAAGTAAGGGGTTGACCAGGGTAGAGCTGCCTCAGACACAGGGCACGGTTAAGGCAGAGACATCATCTTGACGGAGGATGCCAATTAAAACCAAATCCTTTCCACAGCCCTTGCCACAGAAGCATTCCCATTTTTGTAAAACAGAAATACAGTCTCACAAATATTTTTTTCTCAGAAGATCTTAGTACCCTGAATACAGGCCCTTGCCAATCAGGAATGAGAGCCTTGCTCACAACCCCAAGCGAGCGCCTCCCAGGTGTGTGCGTGCCCAGCAAGCTTGGACGGGGCAAAGCATTGGCAGGGAGGACAGTACTGGCACGGAGTGAACAGGAACTTTCATACCAAGTCTAGAGAACATACATGAGTTTAGAAAATAAACAAACCAGACAGACAGATTTACATTTGCCAAAATGATGTGGAACACAAATGGACAGATGGAAGCCAGGCCAGGAGTGGGAAGGCAGGGAGTGAAGCAGCCCCTGGGCCCCAGCAGCTCCAGTCCAGGCCTAACTGGCAGGAGTCTGGCCCCGTGGTCGGCGCTCCCTCCTCCACGCTCAGGCAGGAAGCGGGTCTTCCCTGGGCCTGTGCAGGAGAAGCAGGAGGGAAACCGATACTGCCTCTTTTGGTCTCACTGAAGATGAAGAGGCCTGGGCAGTGCCTTTAGAACAAACTAAATAGAAAATGACTCAAGAAAGCCCTTTGAAGGGCTGGAGAAAGTGTCTCTAGGGAATTCCAGCTTCCCCTGCCACAAGCTTGTGTGGGGCCAGAGCGTGCTTGGACTGTGTCTTGCACAGGCTGATGGAGAGTGGCAACCACAGAGGTCGTGTGGCTCCAACGCCTCCAGCCACGTCGCTGAGCGAGTAAAGCACTGGACCCGTGATGTGGCCGTTCTGAAGCTGAAGTGAGTCTTCGTTCGGGGAATGTTTAAGAGGATTCAAACAACACGGTATGAAGGACAATCTCTGTCGTGAAACCCGGAGGGGACATCTGACTGAGTCCACTTGGGCAAGATGTGGATTTTAGAAAAGCAGTTTTTAGAGCCCTTGAATGGGCACATTAACTAAAAAGGCGCTCGGTGCTCAACGTGTGATTAACCTGATCCTGTGTAAGACATTAGCTAGATTCAGTTTAGCATCATAAGGAGGAATAAGGGGCACAGTGACAACCTGATCACCTGTGAAGTTACAGCTCCAGGGAGCACAAAGGAGCCCTAACTTGACCTCTCCACTGGGATCCAAATCCAGTAGTATGTACAATGCAACTGGTAACCCAAAGCTCATGGATCACAGAGCCATGCCCTAGCCTCTAAAATGCTGACTTTCACATCCCTCTCCGATCCTAGCTGAAACACTTTTCTTCTGAGGAGCTACGGCTTCACTTTTAAGGGGTTCAGGCAATCCTTCCAAGACCTTCGTAGAGAGGTGGTGTCTGTCTGCTCAAACTTCCTGTTGATGAAAACAAGACCAGGCCACCTGACAGGGCACCTGCAAGGCCGTGATGTGGGGTGGAGAGTGGTTAGGCCAAATCATAAGTTTTGCTTCTTTCTTCCTATCCTAATATTCTCACTCAGAGCAAGGCTGGCTCATTGCAAAAAGCTCAAGGACTCTCCCAGGCCTTCTTACTTCCTTTCAGCAACTGGTCTCCAGCACTAGCACACCCCAGGCCTTCTTGGCAGGAACTGCAGGGCAGGAGATGGGTGTACCAGGGTGAGAGCAGGGGTAAGAGCACAGGGATCGTCCCCCACCAAGTTCATGTTCAGCAGACTGCCACTCACCAGGTAAGCAGACCTCAGAGCACAGCTTATTGTCCAGTGCTTTCACGCTTGCGATGTCAAAGTCATTGTTATTGTCACACTCCATACCTAGAAATGCGCATGTCCTCTGGCCTGTAATGGAGTTAATGCAGTTAGAGAGGTACTGGCTGTGTTTTTCTCTGCATTGCTGTCCTTAAAATAAAAATCTTAAGGATGGAGACCAAAAAAAAAATCAAATGATGTGTTAAAAAAAGACAATAATTTAGTGGGTAAAGAGTGGACAAGAAAGGAATCACATTGTGTGGCATGTCTGTATTCTCACGCTATCCTGCTGTTTCCCTAGAGCCCTTTCTGTCTGCTGTTCCCTAACAAGTCAGATCACTGAGGAGGGCTGTGGGACACAGGCTCAACAGAGAACACTAGAGCGAGCAGAGCTGGGCAGAGGCCAGGCTGGTGAGGCTGCAACCAGCCGGCAGAAGCTAGGGAGGGCCAGTGGGGAGGTCATCCTGCTCATGCCTGCGTCTGCCTTGGGTGCGAGCTGGGTGTGTTTATGACCACATGGCTCTGCAAAATAAGTACATGAAACAACAACTAAAGGTCTTAGGGTCCATAATTTTGCATATCAAATCAGAATGACTACATTCACAAAATTATGATTTCCTTTCTTACGAGACCTCAGTTGTTATTTTCAGTGTGTTTTAAGTGGCTAACCAGAAATCTACGGACATGTAAGAAGGGAAGGGAAAAGTTTTAAAAGGTGTCTTTTTTTAAAATCAAGCTCCCCTCTTTTTTTCTCAGTGAAAACAGAGAGAATAAAACAAATCTATTCCACGGGCTAGGGAATGTCAGGTGAAACCACCTGGCCACACTGTACTTCTTAGAAGCAAATATTCTATGGGAGAAATAATCACAAGGGGTAACGCTAGAGCCTCAAGCACTGAAGTCATCAACTGAGTTGGTGACACTCCAAACCCCCTTGGGCTGGGGTGCAAGAGCTGACGGAGGCAGCCTTGGTGGCCACCTTCTCCTTCAAGCTCCTTGGCCAGGCGGGACCTGTCATGTCCACATGCGCACCTCCAACACTTCCCAAGCGATGGCCAGCGCTAAAGCAGAAGCAATAGGATGACATCTGCTGGCGCTTCTGCATCCAGGCCGGGCATATGTGTGCTCTGGAGGCGCCTCTAAGGGAGGTGCCTCAGAGCAGCAGGAGGAAGAGTCTGGCTCCTGGAACACGTGGTGTTCGCTGCTTGAGGGAGACTTTCCTGCCCACCTTCTTCCTCCTATGTCCTTGCTCTGTGGGCCATTCCTTCTCTTCTAGCCTTCCTGGAAACAACATTCTTCCAACTGAAGATATAACTGAGGCCTGAATTATGGTAAAGGAAGATCATTACAATAGCCTTTAAAATACTTGCCTAAGCTGAGTTCCTGAAGAAACTTGGACCTGTTTCCTTGACCACGCCTTTAATATGTCTGCTGGCTCCTGAGAGTCCTCTTTTACAGTAATGTCGACCATTTTCCTAACTAAAGCAAGACCTGACCAGCTGCCAAATAGTCCTCCTCCTCCCCACAGTGGAAGAAATGGCTACTGCTGTTCAACACTGAGACTGCCAGAAGAGCTCTATGGGGCTCCACTGAAAACCTGCAGCAGGGAGGCTGATGATGGGAACTGCTTAGAGAGCTTCCGAATCTACTTGAGGTAAATATGGACCTGTATGTATCTCCTGCAGCACCCGCACCTGACATCCATGGCTCTGAGACCCAGAAAGAGCTGAGGAGGTCATAGAGGTCATCAATGCCCTGCTTGCTTTGATGTACCACTAAGACGACGACCTTTCCCTTAACAGTCCCACACAACTGAGCAGTGCCACCAAGTCACACCGGTACCCTTTTCTTTACCCCTTAAAGAAGACCCAGGAAAGAAATATAACTAAAGGAAGTAAAGGACCAGATCTTTTACCATCTTCCTGCGTGGGTGATCCATCCTCTTCCTCCATAACATCATTTCCCTAGGACAGAAGGAAGGTCCTGTGAGTCTATAAAGCAGCAAAATGAGTAAACTGATTGGCTGAAGACAGAACTAATCATCCTAATGGTATCTAACTCCAGGGCCTACGTTAACAGCATATACTTCCATCTGTGTTTAATATGCCTGAGAGGCTGAGTAGAGGCAGATTTTGCTTGGTGAGGCACCGTCTGCCTATAGGGATTAGATCCGAGCCACATTACCCATATATGCTCAGAATGGTCTGTCAGGAACACCCTTGTTAATAGTTTAGCTGATACTGTTTCTCGTGTGTGTGTGTGTGTGTGTGTGTGTGTGTGTGTGTTTTCTGAGACAGAGTTTCGCTCTTGTTGCCCAGGCTAGAGTGCAATGGCATGATCTCGGCTCACCACAACCTCCACCTCCCAGGTGCAAGTGATTCTCCTGCCTCAGCCTCCCTAGTAGCTGGGATTACAGGCATGTGCCACCATGCCCGGCAAACTGATACCGTTTCTCTAAGGTAGAAGTAAAAGTTACTAAATGAAAGAGCAAACTGTGAGATCATAAGACTTTGAGAAATTCCTTAAGATCCCAAACCCCATCCAGATCCTCCATTGAGAGTAGCTGGCTCAAGAAGAGTTCTAGACCTCTCCCTGTGAGCCGGCATTCCACAGCACACCATGGGCTGTCTCACACTGAACTGTGGTCCTGTCTGCCTGCTAGACTGGGCTCCTAGGTGCAGTGGGTGGGGGTAGGCAGAAACCTCGCCACACAGATCTGTATAGGTCTGTATGTGCCCCAGCACCAATGAGCACCTGTGACACAGTCCCCCATGTAAATACTAGTGGAATGACGGACAATACATTCTTAAGGCCAGGGGCTGGCAAGAAAAGTTCCCTCTTGAACTCACTCTACACCAGTGACCCTGGGAATCAGTGGCCCCACTCACTGGACAGTCCACAGGCCCTGGTGCAGCCACTCTCATCTCTACCCATATTCTACTTCTCACTGATCTAGGCATGTCCCCTAGGAAGACTTCGTCAGCAAAGCCTCCCGGCCCTGGTCCTTATTGGCATCCCAGCCAAGGCCAGCACTCCTCTGGCTATGCGAAGGGGCACCACTCCGTGCTGTTGGGGTTACCTCTGCATCCTGCTCTCCAGCTGGGAGGCCAGCAAAGTTGCTGTCTGGAGACTCCGCTGGCAGCCCCTGCAGAAGAGCACAGTTTTTACAGGCTCTTCCATCAAGCTCTCGTGACAGCAAACCCAAACCTTCTTCAGTACAAACTTGGTGTCAAATAGGAGGGTCAGACCTAAGGGGATGCCTTGTTTTCTGTGGCACTCCTGGCATTTTGGGGCGTTTTGCAGCCATGCATGGCAGACCTTTGGTTATGCTACTTTGGACATGTATGCAAAGAACAGAGAAGCCAGGGCGGTTCCCGTCCCTTCCCTTACCTCTCCTTCTTCTGAGGGGGCCCTGCTGGCAGACTGGGGGGAAGGGAGAGCCTCTCCCTCCTCTTCAGTGCCAGGGGCGACGTAGGAGCCAGACATGGAGGAGACGGTGTCGGTGCTGATCTGGGAGGATGCCATGGACATGACAGACTGGGCCAAGCTGCTGCTGGCAGGGCCTTTGGAGACAGGGGATGGGGAAGGAGCCTGGAGGTCAGGCAGGGCTTCTGCAAGCTTTCTGGGGAGCAGAGCCCTCTCCCTGCACTCAGGCAGTGAGGAGTGAAGTGGCCTTATCTTGCCCTCCCCTAAAAGTGGTTTTAGGTTTACGGTTTTCCAAAATTCTGTTCCTTTATATTTTAGAGCTCAGAACTTAGCCTCGGGGACAAGACATTTGCTTTTCCCTGTCATCATGCTAAAGGAAGCCTCATGACAGCAGGACTGGGGCTGAGAGAACCAACACCCCGCTAGCTACAGGCAAGCCCGCTAACCCATGGTAGGAAAGCAAGTCCTCTTCCCTCTCAAGCCAGGGCCTACTTGTCATGCAGTCCAGGTATTAGCTTGCCACTCCCATGTCCCTTCCCAGAGGAAACACCAGGACACTGTGGGCTGGGTAAGGGGGAAGGACATGCAGCCACTCCCTGCTCCTCATGTACCTTCTGGGGAGGAAATAGTGGACGACAGAGGCGTCCCTGTACAAGACGACTGGTCAATAGCTCCAGATGACGACAAGGTGAGATTCTCACTTTCTGGAGTCACACCACATTCCTGGGGGGTGTGGGGGACACAACAGGACATGGAGCAAGTGCAAGTCACCTGTGCTGGAGGAAGGGGTCAGGGCGGAGGTCTGGGTAGAGATGAGGAGGAAAGGCAACACTGGGAGGGACTGAGTGGCATGCAGAGGTCGCAGCTTCTCTATTCCATCCTCACTTCTCAGCCCAAGCCTGGAATGCCTGCCTCCCAGGGGAGGCGCACACTTCAGTCAATACCTCCGGCCCAGGGCACAGCCATCTGCTGCGGCCATACAAAGATGCAGCTCGGGTGACACAGGTCACCCTGCAGCTGTGACATGGGGACACCCCAGGTTTCCCCAGGATTATGATCAGCTTTCCTTCTGAGGCAAAAGCATACAAAGACAGCAGAGGCCTTCCTGCCTGCAGGGTATCTCCACACGGACCCCAGTTAACTCCTGCCCAGCTGCTTTCTGATACAAACACCACCTTGCTCCCCAGCCTGCTGCTCCTCCCACGCCTCCATCTCTGATCCCAGCCCCCATCTGCCAGGCATCTGGGTGCACAGCCTCACCCATCCGAGGCAGATGCAAAGTTCTATGAACTGTGTCTCCATAATCCCTTCCCTTTCCTCCAGGCGCTTCTCTTTTGTCTTAGTTCAGGCAGTCCTTCTTGCCTGGGCTACCGAAGCCCTTTCCTGGCTGGGTCTGTCTCCTGTCTAGTCCAGGCTGCATGCTTCGGTCAGGTGGGCCTTTGGGAAACGAAGTGCTCACCGTGCCCCTGGCTTGCTCCGAGCCCTGACTTCCTGCTCTGTGCCTTTGCATGCACTGTCCTCTCCACATAGATGTTTCTCTCACCCTTTTCATATCTAAAAAACTTCAAGGTTTAGCTAAAATGCTACTCCGCCGTAACACATTTTCTGATTTCCTCCACTTACAATGATCTTGTCCATCTCTGACACAGCAATTTATTGTCTCTGTATTGGGCACACTGCTTTTCTATAAAGTTTACTCAGTCATTTAACACATACTTACTGAGCAACAATGACGTGCCAGGCACATGCTATTCCCATGTATATGTCCTGTCCCAGCCAGACCTGAGCACCTAAGGGCAGGGACCACTTTATTCACCTTCCTATGCCCCACTCTGCCTAGCTCAGTGCCCTACAGAGAGAAGCTGCATAAACCTTTGGTATGTGAGGTCTCTGTGGGACACACAGAGTAGAAAATTCCAGCCTTCTCTTCCATTCCTCCACGTGGGCCTCCTGGCACCCGCTAATTACCCTCAGGGCTTTCTTCTTGCTGTTCCCAGGCCTAGGGCCCTCTCTCCTCGTATATCTGCATAGCTAGCTCTCACACTTCCCTTGGTCTTGGCTCCTGGACCGCTTTTTAAGAATGGCAGCCCCCACTTCCAGCTGTGACACTCCCTTCCCACATGTCACACACGCTGATCCACAGCCCCACCTGGTACACGTGTATTTTTTTACTTATTGTCTTTTGTGTCCCCCACCCTCACCCCAGCTAGCAAGAATATGTTACGAGGGCAGGGACTTTTGTTGTGTCCCAGCTACTATACTCAGAATATAGCACAGTGCCTGGCAAATAACACAGGCTGCATATGCTGTTGAATGCATGAATCCAGTGAAATCTTTGCCACTGCCTCAGAGGGCGTTGAAAAGGTGTTTGATAAGTGAATGAGAGCAGAGGGACCTGATGAGCCATGCAGGTAGGAGGAAAGTCCCTGGAGTTCAACACCCAAGAAGAGGAGAGGAATATCAATTACCTCTCCGAGATGCTGAGCTGATGGTCTCTGAGAGAGCTGTGTCTCCGACTCACTGCAGGAACGCTCATCTTCCTCTTCATGCAGCACGGAAGAGTTTTGGGAAATGGACCTATAGGAGTCCAGTGGAAAAGCAGCTATATCCAACGTCCATTTAAAGAACAGTACATACTGCAAGGGGAGCGGAGGGGAAAACCCAAATCTTTTTTCTTTATTTTTTGAGACAGGGTCTCATTATGTTTCCCAGGCCGGACTCAGACTCCTGGGCTTCAGCGATCCTCTTGTTGACGTCTTTAACAGAGGAGGAGTACAGCCTCCTGAGTAGCTGAGTAGGTCTGGGCTAACTTTCCTGGCTCAAAACCCAAATCTTAAGTAGGACTAGGGAGGTAGAAAAGAGAACCAGGGAGGGAGGTAGACCTCTTTTGGGTGTCAGAAGCACTAAGTTTTACCTTTAGCTCCTTTGATGACTTGCTGTCTAAACTTGGGAAAAACCACAGCCGTTTACAGGGTCTCAATATTTCCATCTGTAAAATACCCTCTGCTTTACTCTGCCACAGAAACCTTGTCACGATTTGTACCTAGCTGGACTTAGATGTTTAAGAGATATGGATCACAAGGTTCCTTCAGTCTTTGGACTAAGCAGTGCTCTCAAGGGCCTAGATGGCCCTATCCACAGTGTTTAATGTCCTCTTCCCTATAACCCATCCCCTATCCTTGAAAACAAAAAGAATACATAAGAGATTTGTCTCATCAGAATTTTCCTAAGTGCCTACATACCATCTTATTTTCATCTCTTAACGGATGGGATAACCTTCCCACAAGCAGCTCTGGGAACAGCCCAGAGGGTTACTCTGCCCTAAGGCCCCAGGATGTGGGCCAGCACCAAGGAGAGTTGAAACATCTCATCATGGATTCTGGGGGTAATACTGTGGAGCACTGGCTACTCACTTGGAGAGACTCTTTTTGAGTTTGAGTCCCTGGCTGCTGCAGTCAGACAGGCGGTCAAGAGGTGAGATGGTCCTGACAGGGGGCAGGTGGCCATCACTGCCATACGAAGGGAGCATTCCTGAGAGGTGGCCATCTCCAAGCACGTGAAGTGGAGGAACTGCTGGGGATGGGGTGAGGGGCCCATTGAGGGCCTCCAGAAGAGATACTACTTCATAGCCTGGTGGAATATTCTCTGAGGACTAGGGGAATCAGAGACAGGTTGAAAAATCAATTAGGTCCTTTTTGTTTTATGACATGATTATGCTACTTACTCTACACAGAAAAAAATGTTTTATATCTGTTCTTGGGGGGTTTGGTAAGAACAACTGTACTAGAGGCAGAGGTAAAATATCAAAGAACTACACATTGTAGATCCTGCTTATTGGTAAGCTTTTTCTTAATAATCTCTATTTTTTTTCTGATTATAACGGAAATATGTTAATTATAGGAAATTTGGAAAATATATTATTAGGAAAAAAATTAGGAAAAAAAATCACCAGTAATCAAATCACCAAAGTGACTTTTGTTAGCATTCTGGTGTCTCTTCTTCCCATTTTTTTCTGTGTACTATTTACACAGTTTTGATCAACCTGTAAATAACAATTTTATATTCTGCTTATTTTATTATACTTTCCTCTTTTTTAAAAAATAGAGATGGGATCTCACTATGTTGCCCAGGCTGGTCTTGAACTCCTGGTCTCAATCGATCCGCCTGCCTTGGCCTCCCAAAATGCTAGGATTACAGATGTGAGCCACTATGCCTGGCCAGAACATAAATATTTTCCTTCGTTTCTGAAGCCTCTTCATATATGTCCCCTTCTTACAGATCCCCTAAGTTTTCTAACTGTTCTCCTAGTGCTGTGTATCTAGTTGTGTCTAGCACATCCTATTGTAAACAAGTTTTGATGAACATCCTTGAATGCCTTTTTTTTCAAATTATCTTCTTCTTGTTAAATTCTTAGCTCTTAGATGATGAGGTATAAATGTTTTTAAGGCTCTTGATATATATTGCTGTTTTCCACTGTTTTGTTTCTTTCAGTGCCTTTTCTAGTTACACTCCTGTAAGTAATACAGAAGACCTATTCTGACTGCTTCCCTGAAAGCGGGGAGAATCACTACAAAAAAAAGTTTTTAAAATTTGAAAGTTGGAAAATGGTATTCTCATATTCGCATATCATTGATTTTTAATGTGGTTGAACTTTTTAAAAAACTCTATGTTGAGTATGTTTTGTTTATGCCCTTTGTCCATTAATCTACTGTATTATTTGATATGAACTATGGCAAAGACATTAGCTTTTCCTCTGATACATACATTGTAAATACTTTTTAAAAAAACTACTATTTGTTGTCTAACTTTTAATTTTGGTCACCTATTAGACCTCTGACGTGCTAAACTTTTTAGGTAGTAAAATGTATGGCTCTTGCTTTCACGCTTAGAGAATCCTTTCCAATCTAAAGTCAACTAAACAATCGTCTATAATTTATTCTAGGTTTTTGTTTTGTTTTGTTTTTTTGAGACGGAGTCTCGCTCTGTCACCCAGGCTGGATGGAGTGCAGTGGCGCAATTGCCGCTCACTGCAAGCTCCGCCTCCCGGGTTCAGGCCATTCTCCTGCCTCAGCCTCCCGAGGGACTACAGGTGCTCGCCACCACACCCAGCTAATTTTTTGTATTTTTTTTTTTTTAGTAGAGACGGGGTTTCACCATGTTAACCAGGATGGTCTCGATCTCCTGACCTTGTGATCCGCCCACCTCGGCCTCCCAAAGTGCTGGGATTATAGGCGTGAACCACCGCGCCCGGCCAATTTATTCTAGGTTTTGAATGTTTTGTTTTGTTTGGTTTGCTGTAATGTTTGTTTGGTTTAATGCTTTTAATATAGTTAATTAGTTACTCCAGCTGGAATTTATTTGGTAAGGAGTAAAGTGCTAAACTGATTTTTCCTCCTGGAATAGCTAACTAATTATCCCAATACCATTCACTGAATAATCATCTCTCCCAGCAGTGCGTTAATCTAAAGAAAGACAGTATCTGCTCTTCTTTAACTGCAAAGCTTTCAGGTTTCACTCTAATATCAGCACTTACACTAGGAAACTGAGGTCACTTTATCTCAGGCACTGAGGCCACAAAACAGGATAAAGAAAAACAGTTACTTTCTTCGAGGATTTGAATAAAGATAATAAATTGTATTTAAATCCAAAATAATCGTCCCATTGTTTCTGCCTGAGGGAGTTGGAGTTGAACCTCGCTGGAGTGAAACTGCAAGCAGATGGCTCTAGGAATGGTAAATATTAACTGGACACCAAGTTCCCAAAGAGGAAAAGGGAGGTTTTCATGACCAGTACTCAATCTTCCACAGTAATAATTTGGTTGTAACACATGCTCTCAGCTGGGCTGCTAAATACTGCAGCATACCCAGGTCTAATTCCTTGCTGCAATGCCACATAGAAAAGCATGAAAGGTTTAAAAAAGCCAATGAGGCATTTGCTTCAGAGGGGCCGTGGTTCCGAGCCCAACTTACTGAATGTTCTTCAGAGTCAGATGTCTGGGATGAGATGATGGGGTTAAAGCTGGTTGGGGACAAAGGGCCCAATTTTTTCCTCATGGCTCGGATCTGAAGCAGTGCCCGGAAGGCTGTGAAGAAGAAAACAGGCAATCAGGACATCCTGATGCAGGATTAAGGATGAACAAGAGCCCAGAGAGAAACCATGATCCCTCCCAGCGCGCATCCGTTTGTCAGATCCAGCAGCAGCACATGCTTCAGTGTTTTGTAAATGTCCTCTTGTCCTCTCTCCCACCCACCAGTCCCCCTGCCGCTCTGGGGCTTACGCAGTCGGCAGATGGGGCAGTTGTTGGCCTGGTAGCGCAGGGTGTCTGCACAGGTGTTACAGAGGCAGAGGTGGCGACAGGGCAGAATCAAGGTGTCCCGGACATCCGAGAGACACACCACACACTCGGCACTGTTATCACTCACTTCGTCTTCAGCCACCTGGTCGAGGAGAAAGCAATTTAGCCAGTGTCACAAAGCCCTTCCTGTCCCATACTTTACAGACAAGGCAGTGTGGCTAAAGAGCTAGGATAAGTAGGCCGGGCGCGGTGGCTCAAGCCTGTAATCCCAGCACTTTGGGAGGCTGAGACGGGCGGATCACGAGGTCAGGAGATCGAGACCATCCTGGCTAACATGGTGAAACCCCGTCTCTACTAAAAAATACAAAAAACTAGCCGGGCGAGGTGGCGGGCGCCTGTAGTCCCAGCTACTCGGGAGGCTGAGGCAGGAGAATGGCGTGAACCCGGGAGGCGGAACTTGCAGTGAGCCGAGATCCGGCCACTGCACTCCAGCCTGGGCGACAGAGCGAGACTCCGTCTCAAAAAAAAAAAAAAAAAAAAAGAGCTAGGATAAGTAATAAGAACAAAATCTGCATTGACATTGGACTTTGTCGTTTACCCAGTGCGTCCACACACTTAGCTTCACTGCTTCTGGGAAGTGTTTATCTAAAATTGAGAGGACAAGACTAACCACTCGAGCTCCTATGAGGCTCGGAGCTAGGCCTCTCAAGTCTCAGCTGAAGGGACCTAGGGGACCACACAGATAAAAGAAAAGGAGCAAAGAAAGGACCCTGGTGGAAACCGAGTTGGACAGAACTCTGTGGCAGTACAAAGCCAAACCAGCCTACTTTTCTCATTTCCCAAGAGGTAAAAGCATAATGATCTGAAATGAGGAACAAGAAAATACCCTTCTAAGACCTAACTGATTTCAGAGTTTGGCATACTAAATTCCTGGACGCTGGCTTATAATTTCTCACTTGGCCTCCTGGAAAGAGTACCTTCAGAATTTTGGATAAAACTTACCTTAGAATCTTGTGTGTTGTACTTGTTTTCAATTCCATAGATCTCCTGAAGGAGGTAGCTGACCCCGTCTACCTGAACAGCAAATAGAAAGGTTCAAGGATAGGCTGTCTCTACTGAGAGACAAGAATGGGAACTCCCTCCCCTCTTACCTCTTTCGGTAACCAAGGACTACTGATTCATAATGAAAAAAAATCAAAGGCCTAGATAAGTAAAGGATGCTTTTATTTACTTATGTTTTCTATTTGAGAGGAGAAAGAAAATCAAATATTTAATTCACCCATCATTATATACAATAGGGAACACAAAAGTTCACAAATACAATAATAATACTTGCACTGCAGCTTACTATTATGGACAATTAAGAAGGCATAGACTAGAAAAAGGATGGAAGGGTATGCATTAAAACATAGGCATTTGCTATGTAATCCAATTTGAGTTCAGACATTATAAAAATAAAGGAATAGAAAGGAGAAAAAGAAGAAGAAATTGGCAAGGAAAAAGATGGGAAGGGAAAATATGAAAGCAAAGGGCAATAGCAAGATTTTGAGGGAGAGGCTAATGGTGTGTACCCCACACCATGAAGCCACCCCATCCCCAACATGCAGCAAAATTACACTGCTTGGCCCTGTTTCTTTCTTTCTTTCTTTTTTTTTTTTTTTGAGACAGGGTCTTGCTCTGTCATCTTGGCTGGAGTGCAGTGGTACCATCTTGGCTCACTGCAACCTCCGCCTCCTGGGTTCAAGCAATTCTCCTGTCTCAGCCTCCTGTGTAGCTGGGATTACAGGCATGTACCATCATGCCTGGCTAATTTTTGTATTTTGTGGTAGAGATGGGGTTTCACCATGTTGGCCAGGCTGGTCTCAAACTCCTGACCTCAAGTGATCCACCTGCCTCAGCCTCCCAAAGTGCTAGGATTAGAGGGATGAGCCACCAAGCCCAGCCAGCCCTGTTTCTTAAAACCCCAACTACCAAGGCCCAATCCAACTCCCACTAACCTGGCCCATGTCAGTGCCTAAGTTGGCCCTGTCCCATTTACTTTTAGGAGCATGCTCTTCTGCCTCACCTCTGTTTCTTAGCCATCCCTTCCTCTAAGACATAGCCTGTCTCTGATTTTATATCCCACTCTCCAGTTTGATAGTCTGTTGCTAATGCCAATCTAACAAGAGGAAAATGTACAAACCATTTTCCTCTAGCTACATGAACCTTTCCATCCCATCCAGGCCTCCTGGAGAACCAGGCCTTCCCCCATGAGGCAACTCACCAAGGCCTGGCCTGCCCAGGTAGTGCCCTGGACTCAGGATCTGTTTCCTCGTCTGCTCTTAAAACTTGTTTTCATGTAGTGATTATATTGGAAAACTAATTTATACTAAGATATTCTTATTACTGACCTCATTAAAAGAGAGGCAAATAATTAACCTAAAAGAATGGACAGTATAGAATTTCAGATATCTATCACCCATCTGCAGGGAGGCTTTTCTTTGCATCTTGACGAAGCCCAGCCCTGCCTCCTACCCAGCTGCTCTACACCCTCCTCGAGATGACCTACCCCTCACCCACCCTCCCTTGCCAATGCCACTGGCACCACTCTCTCTCCTTCCAATGATGTCTCCTCCTACCTCTATAAGAGTGGAAAGAAAAGTGCTGGCACATGGCAGGGGCTGGGACTTCTAGCAGACATATGCACAAGGTGCTGATCATTCTGCAAGAGGAAGAATGGCCAACTTTGAATTTTAGAAAAGGAATGGATAAATTAAGCCAATGACTCTAATTACCCCAAATTGGACCCTAATGCTTATCCTTTCGCTTGAAATAGTTCTCACTCTGGCATTTAAAATAAAAAGAGTTCTCCCTAAACCCAGTGTTGGGAAATAAATCTTGTTCTTTCATTTCTCAAGTCCTTTACTCAGATAAAGGCTGCCTCAACACCAACACTTCTGGAACAATGAAGACATCAAAAATCAGCATTCCTTTCAGGCCACCCAAGTCGTTTGTAATAGCTTGTAACATTCAAAAGCACTCCCTTTTTTTCTTTTCTTTTTTGATTAAGAAAAAAAAAGAAGAAAAAGAAAAGGAGAGACTTAGCAAAAAGTAAAACAAAAACAAAAACAAAAACAAAAAAAAGAGGGAGAGAGAAGAAGAAAGGAAAGAATAAAAGGAAGGAAGGACCCTAACACTAACAGTCTGCGGTCTTCAAATACTTACTACTTGTTTCTGTTTGAGGGGCTTGACACAGAAAGTTCCATCTGTGTGCTGGAATGAAAATATGAAAGTTATGACAAGGAAGGGAGGGTAATAAAGCTCCAGGTATTCTTCTGTTACATCTCCCAGTTACAGTCACCCTCCCTTATCTGCAGTTTCATTTTCCATGGTTTCAGTTACCCACCATCAACCACTGTCTGAAAATATTACATACAATAAGATATTTTGAGAGAGAAAGATGACTTTCAGACTTTTATTACCTTATAGTTATAATTGTTTTAGTTTACTATTATTCTTAATCTCTTATTTTGCCTAATTTATGAATGAAACTTTATCAGAGGTGTGGATGAAGTCTACGAAAAACCATAGTGTATATGAGGGTTCTGTACGATCTGCAGTTTCAGACATCCACTGGGGGTCTTGGAACGTATCTCCTGAGGATAAGGGGGGACTACTGTACACATGTTCCTGGATGCTCTCAGAGTAGAATTATACAATCCTAATTCTTTAAAGATCTTACAACTATCCAGTGTAACCCTTTCTTTCTTTCTTTTTTTTTGAGACAGAGCCTCACTTTATCGCCCAGGCTGGAGTGCAGTGGCGCCATCTCAGCTCACTGCAACCTCCGCCTCCCAGGTTCAAGCAATTCTCCTGCCTCAGCCTCCTGAGTAGCTGGGATTACAGGTGCCCGCCACCATGCCTGGCTAATTTTTATATTTTTAACAGAGGCAGGGTTTTGCCATGTTTCCCAGGCTAGCCTCGAACTCCTGGCCTCAAGTGATTCACCCACCTTGGCCTCCCAAAGTGCTGGGATTACAGGTGTGAGCTACCGCGTCTGACTCAGTCTAACCCTTTCATTTTAAGGAGACTGAGGCCTAAGGAGTTGAAGGTCCTGCAGCAAGCTGATGGCAGGGCTGGACCTACACCCAAACGTAGCCCCCAAAGCGATGTTCTGTCACCATCATAGCCTCTAAAGCCAGACCCATTTTGCTGAGCTCAGGGACCCAGCAAACAGGGGTTACATGTGTCTCACATGAAAGAAAGGGCTAAAGGGAATAAAGCAAGGCCCTCTAAAGTCACTCACCTTCTCAAAAGTCCCCAGCAGTATATGGCAATGGCCAAAATACTCTGAAAGAAACAAAGGCATGTGAGTGAAGAAGCCCAAACAGCACACCTTGATGCCCATGATCTTCCCCAATTCCCTGCAATCTGGCAAATCAAATGTGCCAGTCTGTCCCTAGAAGGGGCATTTTATATAACCCTCACTTTTTTTTTTTTTTGAGACAAAGTCTGGCTCTGTTGCCCAGGCTGGAGTGCGGTGGCATGATCTTGGTTCACTGTGGCCTCCACCTCCCGGGTTCCAGCAATTCTCCTGCCTCAGCTTCCCAAGTATCTGGGATTACAGACATGAGCCACCATGCCTGGCTAATGTTCTGTATTTTTAGTAGAAATGGGGTTTTACTACGTTGGCCAGGCTGGTCTCGAACTCCTGACCTCAGGTGATCTGCCCGCCTCAGCCTCCCAAAGTGCTAGTATTACAGGGATGAGCCACCACACCCAGCTAACCCACATTTTTTGAGACCGAGTCTCACTCTGTCACCCAGACTGGAGTGCATTGGCGCAATCTCAGCTCACTGCAACCTCTGCCTCCTGGGTTCAAACGATTCTCCTGCCTCAGCCTCCCAAGTAGTTGAGATTACAGGCACACACTGCCATGCCCAGCTGATTTTTGTAGTTTTAACAGAGAAAGGGTTTCACCACGTTGCCCAGGCTGGTCTCGAACTCCTGACCTCAGGTGATCCAAACCTGCCTCGGCCTCCCCAACTGCTGGGATTACATGTGTGAGCCACTGTGCCCAGCCAAACCCACACTTTTCACATCCGCCCAGGAGCTTGGAGTCACAGATGTGAGAGGATGCAGAGACTGCCTGACTCACAGTCACAAACACCCACAAAGAAGGCATGTTGTTCTGGAGCCACAGCTGCTGCCAGGAATATGCCACAAAAGAGCAGTGTGCACAGCCAAAGAGGACAGAAATCGCCCCTACCGTCTCCTTCATCCACCACAGCATGTACCACTAGAGGGTAAACTTCTCTGTCCAGATCAAAGCCAAGCTGAAGGGAAAGAAAAGGAAAGAAAAAAAAAAAAGAGGACTTAACACATTTAGATGGCACAGTTAATCTCAGAAAGGGCGATACTGTCAAGCATTAATCTCATTTCTGCTCCTCATTAACAAGGCTCCTTGTCAGCCTTGTTAATTACCCAAGTTTGTTAAATGAGGGCCATCAGTTTCTTTTTAAAAATCTCATAGATGTAAATAAGGCCTTCTAACCTATAGGTTTTGTTTGTTTGTTTGTTTGTTGTTTCTTTGAGCATGGCTTTCTCAAAGTATCCTAGGCGAATCAGCTTCTTTTTAAAAATCTCATAGATGTAAATAAGGCCTTCTCACCTATAGGTTTGTTTTTTTTTTTTTCTTTGAGCATGGCTTTCTCAAAGTATCCTATGCTAATGGGCTATTTCAGTTCCTAGGGAATGGAAAAATTAACAAAGTCAGGTATATCCTTGATGCAAAATAAGCAGAGCTTTAAAAGGACATGATGAAGTCACAAGACTGAAAGGTAAGCATGGCCTTCAAGTGTCTGAGCAGCCCCTTTGCTGTTGGCCGGGGTCCTAAGTAGCCCCTAGGCCCTTCTGAGTCGATGTGGGAAACCCTCCCCAAAGGTAGCTCACCTCCTCTTCGGCCCACTCGGAGGGATCCACGGTGTGGGAGGGCAGGCAGAACTGCTGACACACTCCTCGCTTGTAGTGCACAGTCTCTGACTGGAGGCTGTTGTCTTTGGGAATGTAGCTATTGATACAAGTGGGAGGCAAAGCAAAAGTCAGTATCTGGCACAGATGGGTCTGACAACTTCCTCTGCTCATGCCTGTTCTCAATTATCAACAGGCTCTAGCGAAGAGAAGAAAGGGTCCTTTATAATCCATTTCCTTTGCTCTTGCTTGGCAATGTTGACTTTTCTATTCAACCCACACATCCAAAGAAAGGTAGCTTACTAGATTTTTAACAGTCCTTAAGGACCTGAAGGACTATACCATCATTTGCCACTATACCAAGATGGCACAATTTGAAGGGAAAAGGTAAAGGGTAGGGCTTTGTAGAAGGAAATCTATTCAGGAACCAGATCTCATCTGGCTGCAGAAAAAGAATGTTTTCCACCTTTGCTGAGTGGATAAGACATGGACTCTACCCATCTGGGAAGGAAGTGGCTCACCTGGTCTCCTGATCTTACCTGGCAATACCATTCTGGAACTCTTCCATGGCCTGGTAATAGATGGTGATGGCTACCCTAGCATCTGTGTCAAAGGTGAACTCAACATTGTAGTGGACTTTAGCTTTGCTGGCCTCTTCTCCAGGGCTCTTCACTTCCTCAGCACATCTAGAAAACCAGAGACTCAGCATTTGCAGGGTAGCATATCAATATTTTTAAATTTACCTTTTAAAAAAATTTTAGCAATATATTGTGGGCTTCTCTGAGTGATCGTAAGCATAGGTCTACCTCTTCATTCTGAATGATCACAGAGTGCTTCATGACCAATATTGCTGGGCACTCAGGTTACTTCTGATATTTCATAGTGCTACCACTACATCATTGTGCATTTGGCAGTTTTGTTTTTATTTTAATAAAAGTTATTAATCACGTAGTTTAAATAGTTTCTTCAAGGCAAAAAATAGCAGGCCTTACTTCTTCCCTTTCCTTCTCTTCAGAGGACACCACTTTTAGTGATCATTTTGGCATTTACCCACATTTCTAAAAAATATATTTGGGTTACTACTCCTTGATTTTTCAGTTTCAGGCACTATCTATGGGTTTCCTACTATAGAAACAAGGATTTCTTTCTCTTTACTCATTCTGCTCCATATAGGAACTCCCCCATCCCCACAGTATAGCTACATCATAATTTTTTTATAATAGTCCAGTACATTTGTGTCTGTATTACTGTGATTATATAAACATATAATCTATGATTATTTTTCTTTTCCTGCCTAACTTTTTCTTAATTAGTGCTCACCCTTTTTTTTCTTTTTTTTTTTTTCCAGTTGCATAGTTTTCTATGTACTCATCACAAATTCCAACCCAAGTTCTCTGGGGCTGTCTAAATCTCTCAAGACGTTCAGATGCACCAAGTGGTCTATTCATTTCATCTTATTGAGGAGGTCCCTTGGACTTGCTCCCATCTGTACTTGGCCCTCTGCACCTGGCTCCCAGCCGCCACCCTGGAATCTGTCCCCCTCCATCATCCTGGTGGATCCCTTTTGCCTCTGTCCTCCTGTAGAAGCTCATGTTTCCTGTATCTCATGTCTTCCTCTGTCTTGGGTTATTCTTTTGTATCGGTGGAGCATGTGTTCTACCAGCTTCCTGAAAAAGGGTGTGTTGGGAAATAAACTTTTGAGAGCTTTTATTCAACATTCACACTTCATTCAAAGTTTGGCTGAGCAAAGTATTCTAGATTATAAATAATTTCTAAAAGACACTGAAAGCCTTTTCGCTGCCTTATTTTTCACCTCCCAGCATTGTTCCCAAGAAGTCTGAAGTTGTTCCAACTGCTGATCCTTCTTCTGAAAGCTTACAGACAGTCCTCTTTCTCATCCACTGTGTGGGCACTTGGTGGTCCTTTCCATTTAGAAACTTGTACCCTCTGCTTCTGAGAAATTTTCTTAAATTCTATGTCACTGATAATTTCCTTCCTTTTATATCCTCTGTTCTCTGTAGAACCCGTTAGTTGGATGTCAGACCTTCTAAATGGGTGCTCTATTACTTGTATCTTTCTTCTTCTATTTTCCTTCTCTCTGGATTTTTGCTCTGCTTTCTAGAATATTTCAAGTTTTCTTCCTATAATTCTATTGAAATTTTCATTTATGCTCCTTGTTTTTAATTTCTAAAAGCAATTTTTTTTGGTTTCATAAACTTCGTGTCATTGTGGCTATGAAAGAAAAAGATATCTTCTCTCATGTCTTTGAGACTATTAATGAAGTTTTCTTCTTTCTGCATAGCTTTTGTTTCCAATTAGATTTTTTTTTTTTTACTTTATTATTATTTTATATAGAGATGGGGTCTCACTATGTTGCCCAGGCTGGTCTCAAACTCCTGGGCTTAAGCGATCCTCCTGCTTTGGCCTCCCAAAGTTCTGGGATTAAATGTGTGAGCCACCACACCCGGCCTAGTTAGGTTGTTTTAAAATGTTGGTTTGTTTTGCTACTGTCTTTCCTATTATACGCATTCCTTACACATCTAAGAATCTGTGGCTGTCTGCTTGTATTTAAGATATTTAAACTGCTGATTAGAGCTCTGAGTGCACAGCAGGACTTGGGGATCCCGGGCTTCACTGTGGGCTGATCTGGATCTGCTGAGGAACCTCCAACTCTAGTCTCCTAGGTTTTCCTATCCAGGCAGGTCCAATTTCCAGAAAACAGTTTTTCTCTCTCTTGACAAAGGCCTGGCTGCCAGCATTCTAGGGGCAGAGTGGAGAGGCAGCTGGAGGGCTCAACACCCAGTTTGCCAGGATCCACTCACCTCCCGTTTTGTTTTGACACAGGGTCTCACTCTTGCCCAGGCTGGAGTGCAGTGGTGTGATTGTGACTCATTGCAGCCTCGACCTCCCTGGGCTCAGGTGATCCTCCCACTTCAGCCTCCCAATAGCCGAGACTACAGGTGTACACTACCATGCTTGGTTAATTTTTGTATTTCTTGTAGAGACAGGGCTTTACTATATTGCCCAGGCTGGTTAGCCTGTTTTTAGTACTGGCTGTTAGCTGTGCCTGGGTCTCTCTTGTCCAGAGATTCTTTGTTTTTACCTTTCCAGGGACAGTCATCTGCCTGCCTTTGGCCAGGTTGTAGTAACGTAGTTCTGGCTGTGTGGTATAACGGAGGGGATCTGCCTACCTTGAGGGCAGACTTTCTACCAATCCTCTTCATTTTAGCCTCCCACCTCAACTTCTAGAGAGACCTGGCACTGCTAATTTCTGAACCCCTTGGGGGATAATACCACAGTATAAATTGGTTGATTCTCAGCTTTTCTTTCTGCTAGTTCAGGATTCTGATATCCTGGGTCTACTAAGTCATTTAATATTCACTATGTGTTTCCAGCTTCTAAAATTTTGTTGCTGCTGCTCTCTTCCCATTCTCCAAATACTTACAGATTTATGCCTTTTTAAAATTTTTTAATTTTTATTTTATTTTATTTATTTATTTTATTGAGACGGAGTCTCACTCTGTCGCCCAGGCTGGAGTGCAGTGGCGCAATCTCGCCTCACTGCAACCTCCGTCTCCTGGGTTCACGCCATTCTCCTGCCTCAGCCTCCCAAGTAGCTGGGACTACAGGCGGCTGGCTAATTTTTTGTAATTTTAGTGGAGACAGGGTTTCACCGTGTTAGCCAGGATGGTCTCGATTTCCTGACCTTGTGATCTGCCCACCTTGGCCTCCCAAAGTGCTGGGATTACAGGCAAGAGCCACCGCACCCGGCCTTATTTTTTTATTTTTTAGATGGAGTCTCACTCTCACCCAGAGTGCAGTGCAGTGGAACAATCTTGGCTTACTGCAACCTCTGCCTCCTGGGTTCAAGCAATTCTCCTGCTTCAGCTTCTGGAGCAGCTGGGACTACAGGTGCATGCCACCATGTCTGGCTGATTTTTGTTTTGTAGTAGAGACGGGGTTTTACCATGTTGGCCAGGATCAGGTGATCCACCCGCCTTGGTCTCCCAAAGTGCTGGGATTACAGGCGTGAGCCATTGTGCCCGGCCAGATTTATGCCTTTTAAATACATGTTTATAATTACTTGATGGGGTTTTCAAAGGAAGCAAAAGTAGGTGTTCAATCCTCCATCTTTACCTGGAAATCTGAGAATCAGAATTTATTCCCATAATCACAGAAAAACAAAACAAAGAACACTCTTCAAATTAACATTTATTGAACACCAGGTGTTTTCCCTTCTGTTACCTTAATTTTGACAACCACCATGAAAGGTAAAGTTGATTATCACCATTTTACATATTAAAAAAACCCTGAAGCTCAGACACTCATTCAAGCAAGCATCTGTGGACCTGGGAAGCAAATTGCTCTGCTGCTTCCAAGTCTGGTTCTTTTAGCGCAAGACAGCTGCTTCATCCTATTCTAGAGCTGCAGCCAGGCTGCCACGGCAGAGGCCATGACCTCGCAGCAGCTCAGGCCCTTGAATGGTCTCCATCAAATGTATGAATGTGCCATATGTGATGAGAGAAACCAAGTGGACAGAGTAGCTGGCAACTGGCAGGCCCCAGAGGCCTCGTTAGTCTGCTCTTCTGCTGGATGAACTCCCCTGGGTCAGGTGGGGGGACTGTTCAGCAGACAGGTACCTCCTTGGCTCTCTCCTCCCCAGAGATGACCCTGGGGTGGAGAGAAGCATAGCTGGGGAACCAGTAGAAACTTCAGGGACAAATAAAATATAAAAAATTAAGAGAGACAGATTGAAAATAGATTAGTGGTTACTTAGGGCTGGAAGGACTGCTTGAGCCCAGGAAGTCAAGGCTGCAGTGAGCTGAGATCGCGCCACTGTACTGCAGCCTGGGTGACAAAGCAAAACTCTGGGCGGTGGCTCATGCCTTTAATCCCAGCACTTTGGGAAGCCGAGACAGGTGGATCACCTGAGGTCGGGAGTTTGAGATCAGCCTGACCAACATGGAGAAACACCGTCTCTACTAAAATTACAAAATTAACCAGGCATGGTGGTGCATGCCTGTAATCCCAGCTACTTAGGAGGATGAGGCAGAAGAATCGCTTGAACCCGGGAGGCGTAGGGTGCGGTGAGCCGAGATTGTGCCATTGCACTCCAGCCTGGGCAACAAGAGTGAGACTCTGTCTCAAAAAAAAAAGAAAAAAAAAAAAAAAAAGCGAGACTCTGTCTCTCTCTATATATCTATATCTATATCTATATCTATATATATATCAGACAGAAACATCGTAATGCTAATAAGGCTGATCTATACAAGCATGAGATGGTCTCTGAGTCATCTTTCTTGCCTATTCAGAAAAGTCTGGGACCTTGATTTGCTCTAACCAAAGTTTTTCACCAGGGAATCAGAGAGCCTTGGTAGACATACTGTCTAGGGGTGGCGGGCGGTGGGAATGTATCAGATTAAAAATTACACTGTCTCGAGGATGGCACCAAGAAGGCAAATGACGATAATTAACATTGATGATGAGGATTAAACAACCAACCAAGGGCACTATGAGTTCCTTAGAGAACAGACACATGAGGGCCGGGCGCGGTGGCTCAAGCCTGTAATCCCAGCACTTTGGGAGGCTGAGACGGGTGGATCACGAGGTCAGGAGATCGAGACCATCCTGGCTAACACGGTGAAACCCCGTCTCTACTTAAAATACAAAAAAATTAGCCGGGCGAGGTGGCGGCGCCTATAGTCCCAGCTACTCGGGAGGCTGAGGCAGGAGAATGGCGTGAACCCGGGAGGCGGAGCTTGCAGTGAGCGGAGATCGCGCCACTGTACTCCAGCCTGGGTGACAGAGTGAGACTCCGTCTCAAAAAAAAAAAAAAAAGAGAACAGACACATGAGATAGGGAATAAAGAAGAAAAAGAAAATATAGCAATAAAATAAAGGATTTTATATTCTAAGTTCAAATTTCCTATTTTTACATTGGCTTGTTGGAGTAGCTGCAAAAATTCCCACTTTCCCTTAATAATTCTTCTTCCCTTTTAAAAAATATCCATAAAATAAGGATACTGAGCATTTCTAGGCAAGTGAAAGTTCTTCACAAACACAGTCCATTGCATCCAGTGCTGAACAACATAGGGGTGGATGGCCTGATCTCAGCAGAAAGAAGCGCCCGCACTCCTGTCTGAGACCTGGAGAAGCAGGCTCTGGGGCTGCCAGAAACTGCTGTGTGAGTTCCTTGGGGAGTCTGTCCCCCAGCCCCCAACCTCCCCAAAGGAAGGTGCCTGGGACCTGGCCCCAGCCTCTGGGAACTTACTTGACGAGCCTCAGCGTGTCCTTTCGGATATTGACCAGGCTTCTCAGAGTCTTCACAGGTTCTTGGGGAGGTGGGGCGGCATAAGGGAACTGTGTCAGAAACAAAGTAGGAGAAGGTGGTGTGTTTATAAAGACCCACAGCTGTCCCTCGCTGTTACAGGGCTTTACAGTTCACCAAGAATAGCCCTAAGAGGTGAGGCAGGAAGGCACAACTCTCCTAATTAAGTGAGGAAACTGAAATTCTGACATACTGAGTCAACCTGCTCAAGGTGACAGCTAGTGGGAAAATGGGATTCAATCTGGGGCCCAAAGAGCTAGATTTATCTTCTTTTTCCATTATATGAAGCTTATTTGGGTCAGTGTTCAAAACTTGGAGAATTAATAAAAAACCACTGAAGTTCCAAATACCAAAGGACACACTGTGGCCGAGTTAATCACAAAAGGCTTTTCCATCTGACCTCAGACGACAGGGAGTCAGACCTGCAAGCCCTTTCCTTCGGTGAGGCCATATGGTATCCCAGGAATTTAGGGACTGCAAATAAAAGAGAACCCCATCATGTGTACAGAGCTGAAGTTTGCAAACAGTAAAGAACAAATTTCCCCTGCAGCTGATCATATAAAGCAGAGTTAGCACGTGAGCCAAGAGTTATTTTGGGGTCACCAAAGGTTTATGATTGTCTTCATCATTTACCATCCACTTTCTTCCACTTTGCCCGTTTAGACCTTTGGATATGAAGTTCTGAGTTGTTGATAATAAAGAGATAAACAAAGGAGAAACAGCCAAAAATTTCACTGGGAATTGCCTTATGAGGATCAAGAATGATTTCAAATGTTCCCAGTATTTTTAAAATGTTATTTGGGCAATCAAATGTTTTAACATATAATTCCCAAAAAACCTACTGGTCTCTGCAGCTTTGCAAAACTGTGGTTCTCTTGGCTCAAGAAAAGTCTGCTTCCATAGTGTGGTATCACAAAACAGGACACCCAAGTTATAATCGAATTGTGCCTTCACAGGTTTTTACTGAATATGGTTATTTTACTTGGGAAACAACATAGCTAAACCATAGTCAAGGTGCATCTGACTTTATGTATGCAGTATGATTGCTTATAATTCACATGTATGAATGTGACTCTTATACTCAATAGAAATTATTTGCATTCAGATTACCTACTTTGTGGGCATTATTTAGTAATTTACCTTTTCGTTGATAATATATTAACCATACATTCTTTAAAAAATGACAGTTTTTTCTAATTACAAAGTAATACATGTTTAAGCAGAAAATTTGAAAAACACAAAAAAGTGTAAAACTATCCCTAATTTTACTATTCAGCAACACCAAAATTAACACTTTGGAATATGTATCTCCATCCGTCCATCTATCCATCCATCCATCCACCTCTACATCTATGTGTTGTTTCAAACTGAACATACTATTTTGCAGTTTCTTTTTCACATAAAAAGATGTGGCAAACATTTTTAAAGTCTATAATTTTGATAACATGTGCAGATAACAGCATACTTTAATCAATTCCATATTATTCAATACTTTATGTTGGTTTTACTTTTTTTCGCAGCTATAAATGTCATGGTGAATATCCTTGTCTCTATATTTCTGCATGCTTGTTTGATTATTTCCTTAGGACAAATTCCTAGAAGTGGAATTACTGGATCAAAGAGTAAGCATATTTTTAAGACTTTAAAAATTATTTTGCCAAATTGTTTTCCACAAAGCTGACTCCAACTTTGCCCTCCTGCAAGCAGTGCATCAGGAGGCCTTGACATGGGAAAACTGAAATTCTAGTTCAGATCCCATCTGTGGCCTGTTTCTCCTCCCCCAACTTTCCTAGGCTGTCATACTAAAGGAATTTAAAACAATTTTTAAATAAGCTTAAGCAAAAAGTAATTAGGCAGGAAAATCCGACACAAACACTAGTCTATTCTAAAGCCAAAATAAATGACTTCGGGATTAAAATTTTTTTCTGGAGTAGCAAAGTTAATCATTTTCATTTGTACAGGTACTTGGGCGTTATCCATAACTCCTACCTGCATTTCAAATAAAAGATGCATCTTTTCCCTTATTCTTTACTCTTTCTCCTCCATAGCCACCCCCTGCCACAAAAGAGAGAAAAATAAAAAGAAAGAAAAAAAATCCTGGCACTCTTCATCCTCCATTTTGAATATTATATTTGATAACTGTGGCAATGAAACATAAGCTATCTGGCTCTTAAGGAAAGGTATCAATGAGTTCAACTGTTAATAAACCCACCCCTACACTTTAGGCTCTCCCTATACACACACATACCCGCACAAGACGACGACGACAAATCTGTTCAGGAGAACCTTGTTCGTGGGCTGCTACCTACCAAAGTTTGTGCCTTGCTGGCCTTTCATTCATGCAATCAGAGTCTACATGCAATACTCCATGCTAGGAATAAGGAGAGACTGAAAACCAAGAAGATAAGGCCCTGCCCTTTCAGGAAGCTGCATTATAAGGCAGCTGACATAGTAATTGTAATATTAAAGAGATTAAACATATTAGTATTTTTTGCCACAAAAGGCAAAAATAAAGGAAGTGATCATTTCTGGCTGAGGTAATCTGAAGGCTTCATGGAGGAGGTGGTAGTTGATCTGGGATCTTAAAGGATAAATGAAATCTGCAAATTCAGAGATGACAGAGAAGATAGAGGGGACAGTAGGATCAGAGGCAAATTGAAGAAAATATTTTTCTGCTCTTAGAGTTGTCTCCCATTCTTCTGTAAATCGATTTTGCCTACCATTATTCTCTAAATTTCTTAGTTATCTTCCTTTCAAAAATTACCATTTATTGAGTGCTTACTATTGATGATAGTGGTGGGCCGTCTGGAGCAGCCGCTGCCATCACAACGGCTGCTGCAGGGAGGTCGCAGGGAGCAGACCAACAGCCCCTCCACAGCTTGCCACCCTGGAGGCCACCCCATGGGGCTGGCCGGGTTGCCTGCCAGCAGAGGAGCAGTGTGGCAGAAAAGCAGCGCGATAGGGCAGAGAGGAGTCCCGAGAAGGAGCTGGGCCTTGGGCAGTGCTCCGCTTGCACACGGAGCACCAAGGCCAGGCCTGGGCGCAGAGCTGGGGCCGTGCTTCAGGGGCCCCAGACAGGAAGTGGGAGCAGCTTCCACTTTGGGCACCTGGCCATTGGCGCAGCCACTATGCCCACTCTGCCGAGGCTGCCAGATTCCTGTGCCTCAGGAGGAGGCTCTGTGCAGCCTGTCCGGGGCTGTGTCCCCAGGTCTGCCCCACACTGGAGTGACCACTGAGCCTGACACTCCTGGCCAGATGACCCAGTCAAGGCCCAGGCCCAGGATCCACTCTGCCCCTGGCTACCCCTGAAGCGCCGGGGCAACAGGCAGAGCTCATGGTGATGTCACCCTGCCCCGGACACTGGCCCAGGCCCAGTGAGGACCTGGAGCCCCTGCCCTAGGCTGCAAGGGGGTGCTATAGGGGCTGCATGCTCCATAGAGCTGGTGGAAGCCAGGAACAGGCAGCAGCCCCGCGTGGGGCTGCAGCCATCCAAGTCAGGGCTGTGGACCTGGGCCTCCATAAACTCTTGGAGACACGGAAAAGCACCCCCCTCTGCCCCCCCATCCCAGCAGGCTCAGAAGTGCCTGCTCCTGCCGCCTGGCTTCTGCCTGCTGTTGGTGCTGGCTCTGATCTTAGAGCAATGTGGGGCCAAGCCCAGGTGCTGTCACAGTCAGGCTGGTAGTGCACATGCTCGGGGTAGTGCTGACAAGCCAGCCCCAGCCCCCTGCTGCCTCGGCCCCTTCCAGACTTTGGGCACTGATGAGCATGGGGGAAGGTGGGGGCGCTGAGGGCAGCTTGGTGCTGGCCTTCAGGGAGGGCGTGAAGGCTGGGGCCCTGGCTGCCAGTCCTGCCCACCGGAGTGAGAACTTGTGGTGCCTTTTCTAGGCCTGCCCATGGCTGCCCAGGGACCAGTCTACTTGCACTTCCTCCCTTCTGAGGCCCATTAACAGCCCCAGGCTCAGGCAGAACAGGGCAGAGGTTGGGACCATCAGCTGCAGAGAGGAGCAATCTACTCCAGTGCCCCCTCTCTGCTGACAGCTTCAGAGATGTCCATAAGACCAGCTGCAGAGAGGAGCTATGCACTCCAGGGCCTCCTCTCTGCTGAGAGCTGCAGAGAAGACAGGATGACCTTCCTGCAGAAAAGAGCTTCCCACTCCAGGGTCTCTATGCTAGGACACTTGTCAGGACACCCTGGTTGCGGAAAGGAGCTACCCACTGCGGGTATGAGCTGTTCTATCGCTCAATAAGGCTCCTCTTCATCTTGCTCACCCTACGTTTGTCTGTGTACCTCATTCTTCCTGGTTGCAGGACGAGAATTTTGGACCCATGGAATGGTGGGACTAAAATTGCTGTAACACAAACAGAACTGAAACATGCTCCTTGCTTGTCATGTTGTGGGCAAAGAGGAAAGAAGAGCTGTGGCCCTTCGGGAACCCCAGACCTGGGAGCTGCCTAAGCCAGGGCTGTGACTTCCTCTTTATGGCCCTGTGGTTCCTGGCATCTCCAAGATTCCAGGTGCCACCACATTCCCTGGTGCCAACCAGGAGAGCTGCCTGTAGTACACCTGGTCCAGCCACAGCCTCGCAGACAGCTGGCACCCATGCTGGCACCTGGGGCTGCCAGCCCCACAGCAGCAGCTGGCATGTCTGACTGCACAGTGGCCGGACCCTACTCTCGCTCACACACCCCTTCCTGTTCCATGCCTGATTTGCAGTCTCCCTTGGAGGCGTGGGATATAGGCTGGTAGTGTGAGCTGAGTGCAGTCTGTCAGACCAAGTGGGTGGAAAAAGTCCAATGTGCCTGAGCCGAACCTGTGCAAGGCACCACTGGCCACAGGTTTCCAGCCAGAAAAGTGACACCCCAAAGATCCCATAATACTATGTGCCAGGCACTATGCTGAGCTCTTTATTTATATTATCTTATTTAATCTCTGGAGGAATCCTGTGAAATAGGCATGGTTGTTCCCATTTTTGCAGGTAAGAAAATGGAGGTTGCAAAGAGGTTGAATAAATTCTCTAAAGTCCCCCAAATT